GCAAAGTACATATTCGGTTTCAACATTATTTTCGTGGCCGTCTGCAAGTCGGCCTGGATTAAGTTGCGTTCGATTAGCAAAATTACTCGGTGTCGTTTTAGTTTCGAAATATGTGTCAAGTAGCTGTACTCGTCCTTCATCATCGGAGAATTTCTCAACAGTCAGACAGCGGTCATTTCTCAGTGAAGCTCTGATTGAAAAATGTGCGATCAATAAATGTGGGCGGGATTATCGAGATGCAACGGGGGCTTTTCACTTGGAAAGCATTTATTTGTTTAAATCTGATATTCTGAACTGCACATCTTCCAGCCCACACAAAAGTTACTCTGCAACATGACGATCGAAAAGCCAGGCAGATAATTGTTCAGGGCTCATGGGGAGCCTGGATCCGTGGAAAGACCTGTAGTGTCTGTCACAAGAGAATACAAAACCCCGCAAACTTGTTGGGCATTTCTTGCGGGTTAAAGAGAAGTCAAGAGGCGGAAGCCGTTTTGGGCCCAAAAAAAAACTAGATTTAGAGCAATTTTTTCCTAGACCCTAGATGGTCCCCAAAACCTAAAGAAGATCAGTTCACTATCCGCTCAAAACCGATTGAAATCTATTCCCCCCCCCCTCCTGCGGACTCAGTTGCCTAAAATCTACAAAAACTGTCTGGGATCCCTAGAAGAATGGGTCGAGACTATTAGTCCAGAGGCGCTGAGGGGGGGGCTTGCTGATCAAGAGCAAGGATTAGGCATGTTGCGGGCAAGGTGTGCCATCAACACTTTTACACTGGGTTGTCCTTGGATTAGTGCGAACTTGACACAATTTGGAGGTGCATGCAAGAGCTCATTGGTTGTGTGCCTCCCCCCTTCCTTGCCTTGTCGGCGCTTCCAGCTGATCCCAGTGGAGAATGTGCAGCATATGCGGGAGAACCTCGCGGTAATAACATCGAACCGCTTGGTAGCTCCAGCGGCCAATCCCAACAGACCCAACAAGCAAAACTATGTAGCCTGGACATTTGTCCAAGTGTCCATCCCAAGCACAACCACACCAAGAAGAGCACTGCTCGAACTCCACGCGCGCCGGGGGCTTTTGAAGCAGCCATTCCGTAATGCTTTGTCTCTGTCTTCAATTCTGCGGCCACGTAACTGTTGACTGCAGGCTGCTAAGTGAGGCTTCAGTTGAAATCTGCGAATTCCTCCCTCCAGCACCGAAATGAGAAGACTGAGCATAATAAACGCTGCAGACAGTGGCTGCAGACAATCTTCTGTCGGGGGGAAACCTCCAAGTGCCTGACTCCCTGTTGTGCGCCTGGGCGGCCAGCCCTGGCTTGCCGGTTTTAAGCACCTGCAAGCTGTAAGCGTTTTCTGTTTCAGGAATTCGCTGCACTTCATGAAGCCTCGACGCCTGAAACAATCAAGCAAACGCGGCCGACTTGCTGGCGCCTGCCCTGTGAGCGCATCGTCACGGGAGAGCTTGGACACAGAACGGGCTACCCGCTTCGGACGCGAGGACCTGTTCCGCGGGCGCTGTGCTACTTAGGCCTGTAATGCCTGTGTTGACAGCCGTTTTGAGGGAGTTGAGCGGGCACGGCTGCCGAGCCTGCAGCGAAAAAATGACCAAGCGAGGAGCAGCAGCACCTGCCACCATTGCAGGCGCCCGAAATTCCCAATGACTTTCCTCATCTGAGCTCAAGACACAACTGGCGAGGGCACAAACAAGCCACAGATGCGATCGAACGGCACCCTGGGTCTCGCCTTATGCACAATCACCTCCCTAGGCCGGCGCAGTCAAGGCTCAAAATTAGACATCAAGGCCGCTGCTCAGCACCTCTTCTACCACTGGCACCTACAACAAGGCGATAGGCTTCTCACGCCAGTGGCATCAACATGGCTTGGACGGCCTCTCGGCTTTTCACTTTCCCACCGCTGAATCCTAGCTCAAACTCCTCGCGCGAGACCTCAGCGCTTTCTCCTAAACGCAGGCACAATCCCGACAGAGTGTCGACCCAAACAGTGTGCCACACAAAGCCGTCTCGATCTGTATCCAGGTACCTCACGGCTTGAAAATTCGAGGGAAGGAAATGTTCGACCTTTCGACTGGTACCGGAAACTGGGCTGCCACTCTTCCCCGGCCTCCATGCACTTTCTCTCTGAAGCAGTCTGTCATATGCGACACAATTGATCTAGGGGTGCTGCAACCTGAATGCTGGAGTTGCCCACGAACACGGACCACACCTGAGAAGTCTTGAGCGAATAAAAGGAATGGAACACATGGAACAGGAATAGAATACGTGTTCTTCACATCTTGCCTTGGGCCACTCCGACCTGGGCAGCGACAAAATGTTTTTGGGAACGTTCTGCGGAGAAAGTGCTTTCCAATGTGCAGCAATGGGGGTTTGACCATGCCACCCCATGAACTCCATGCTCTTCTGAATGTTCCTCCGCCAAGATCTGCCAAGCCTGGCAGCATGGACACGTATTGCCGCGCTCTGCAAGATGCATTCCATCTTCATTTGAGAAGTGAACTGGTCACAGATAGCTGCCTGACTCGCGTTTTGGAACTCCGAGCGTGCCTTGCTGTAGCTTGGCTCGTAATCAGAGCCTAGTTCAATAAAAGGGACCATATTTAAAGATGTTTTTCGTAGAATTAGCGTCCAAAGACTAGCTACAATTAGGTGGCTTTTCGTATGGGGAAGAGGGACTACATGAAAGTTTCTGTGGAACCCATCCTAGTAGTACATGCAAGCAAAAAGTTTAAAATACATTTTTGCATGGAGATCCAGCGGCCCCAATCATTCTTTTAATCTGGCACTCTCAATTTCTTCATCTGGTAGGGGGGTCCTCCCCAAATTAAACAAGTGCTAGGTTTAAAGGAATCCTTCCGCACTGATCGCCAATTAGGCCCATGCCCAGCGGCTCCAGACTTGCACCTCAGCTCGTCTCTGAGTTTGTCAATACACGTCAATACGTTCTGCTTTGCAGGCTAGGCCCGAGGCCTGCCAGCGAGCATCCTCTTCGTGATACTCACGGCATCCGGCCTCAGCACCGTCTCTTAGCGTCAGACCATCTACCCTGGCGCTTCCAGTCAACTTTCCAGCAGCCGACCGGGGGCCGAGAACACTCCAGCACGCGTTCGAAAGTGTAAGCCTCACAGCCCCAGGATTACCGTCACGAATTTGCCGGCAAAGCAAAGAACTCAGCCAAACTCAGCGCAAAACCAGATGCACTTTTGCAGTGCCACTTCTGGCTGTAGTGGCGAATCTTGGAGTGGCAGATTGAGTAGAAGCGGCCACGGGAAGGTGGTCAACCAAAAAAACTGCCGAGGGTATATCCTGAACCGGTTTGAACACTATATGTCTCCACCCGGATCTCGCTCGAAAGGCGTAAATGCATCGTGATTCTAAGCTTTGTCTCTATTTGAATTTCCTTCTGTCACCCAGTTCCTCTGACTGCTAGGTGGAAAAAGGGGGTGAGTTTAATCAAGGTGTGTAGATGTGTCGCCCGATCGTTCTGATTGCAAGGGAGTGGTTTTGACATATCTCCACCTTGGTTCCCTCGCCCTGTGTTCCTCTGAAGCAGGGGCCGATTCAGAAGTAGTTTTGACTCAAGTCACCACTGGTGGCTTGAACCTTGATCCCTGTGGTCTTGACATTTGTCTATACGTGTGTCTCCCTCTCGCCTGCGTTCCTTGCATCGGGGGATGAACTTGCCTTTTGGTTCGTCCAATTTGCGGAGGAGTTTCTGAGGTTGGCCTTCTTGTTGGTTTGAAAGTCGCCTTCTGGCTCCTGAAATCCTGTCCGGGTCGCAATGTTTGATCCAGCGAACATCACAAGACGATCTCTGGACGAGATGTGAAGATGCAAGAAACTTGTCAGCTTCTAAATCCGCAAATCCGAAAAGATTGTCAACGTGGCCGTGGGCAAGTTGACCAGATATTAGGCCCAAACGAAAGCTTCAGTGGGGCAGTCAAGGCCCCCAGCCTGCAGTTCTGCAGGTCCAGGACTGCACTTTCCTCAACACACGAACGCGGCCCTTCCCGGGGCATTGGCAGGTACAAACTGACGTTGGCCTCATCCACGAAAGCGCGCCACTTGAAGCTGCAGACAGTGGGTCGCATCATGAACGTGGCAAAAGGTATGCTGACTGCAGCCGGAAGTGCACGCGACAGATTCCCGGAATAGACGATGCCAACGTCCTGGCGAGAAATGGGACACTGCAGACTACAACTGATTGCTCCTGCCTTGGCTGGTGGCACGTTGAAAGAGGTGATCACCACCACACAATTGCTGCTGACGCCGCAGCCGCCGCCACCAACTGTGGTGCCACGACCGCCGCCACAGCCACCAGCACTACCTCCCACCACCACCGCCATCACCACGAGCACCAGCACCGCCACCACCACCAGCAACGCACCAGCAGGCAGTCTGCGGCACAAAGCAAGACCACTCACAGCCAGGTCACCGATGCCAAGGATTCTAGATACCAGACCCAGTTGCGTCCTTGTAGACACCAGCTCGAACGGTGCTGTTGATTAGTCCATGGTCTGCAGCAGGCGCCGTCCACTTCTTTGCAAAGCTTCTGGTAGAAAGGCGCTCTCCGAAGAAAACAGTTTGCAAGCTAGCTGCAGCCACGAGCCTTGAGATACAACTAAGGCGTTGGTGACAGCATCATGGAGCTGGAGGCGAACGTGTCCCGCGCTGGAGTTGGCGGATATTCGAAAACCTCTGAGCTTTGAGGTGCTTGGATCCTACACCTGGAGGAAATGTAACTACGACTGCGTGTGGATCCGCCTTCCACTCCAACCGGGATTGCCAGCGGCATGCCTGATGCTCGGCAGCAAAGGCACGGTCCACATGGGCAAGTGATATTACGTTCATCCCTTTCTTTCTTTCATGACTCTTGTCCGCCCCCCGGAAGGGAGGGACCGAGGCATTGCAGCACCTCTGAGGCTCTAGACCACGTGTGATATTACACTCTTCTTCTTCTTCTAATTCTAGGGGCTGTGCTAGGGCCCAAACCAAAGCAGGGGCGGACACCAAAGCCCTGCAAATGTCAATCTCCCACTTAAACAAATTACCATGCTACAGGTCATCTTCCCTTGCCCTGCCAAAGTCTACAGCCCCCCTTAATTAGTGGCGCGCTGCTGGCAGGTTCAACCGGTTTTGCTGTTTCAGGTTGCGGATTTTACCAGGAACTTCCCACTGCATGATAGTTCCCTACCTGGTTCCTGGCATACACTGACATCCGACAACCCTGCGCGCGCTCCTTGGGTAACAGTACCATCAACAGCAAAACTTTACGCAGTTTTGGCCCACCCCCGGGTGGTGGTAACGTCTCACCCTTTGTTTTCTTTGGGGTGGATTTTCCATTTGTCTTTTTTGCCCAGTCGCCGAACTCTACCGGGATTGCACGCCTTTGCCGATGTGTTGCCACTGTAGGGATTGGCCGAGCCCTGTACAATCATCACACACCATCCCAATAGAGACTATGCAAAAATGGGGGACTATGCAAATGACTACAATCATGTGCCTATCCTAGTTTCCCCCGGGCGGCTGTCTCAAGTTGTGCTTTTGGCGCACTCCCCCGTTCAGTAGGGCTTATTACTTATTACGCTCTCTCTTCTTCTTCTATTATGCTCTTCTTCAGGTGTCTATTACGGTCTTCTTCTTCTTCTACTAGCTCTACCCACCCCTGAAAGGGCAGGTCGGGGCTACAGCTACGCCCCATAGCCGCGCAACGGTCCTGGTTGTCTGGTCGGCACGGGTGAGGCACGGGATATCATAAGTACAGTCCAAAAGAAAGCACGCCTTTGGGCATAACCATCACAGCCTGGCTCTTCTTCTTCTTCTCACTGCTCTACCCTCCCAGTCAAGGGAGGGCCGGGGCAACGCCCCAAGCAGGATGGATGTGCGCGTCGAACCACTGTGGCAGGTCGCGGTTAACAGTCATAAGCAGGTACACGCGGACAATTTAGAATACATGATGAAAGCCTAGCTCTTCTCTTTCTTTCCTTCGTTCGGGCTCTGGAGTGGCAGGTCCACTCCGGGCGTCATTGCCCAGCCCTTGTTGGGCATCATTGCTGGAAGTCACCCTCGAAATTCCA